ACACGCTCGGTGAAGTAATGTTCGAAACCGTCCGTCCCGCGGCCGAGCCTCGCGCGGAAACATATCCCCGTTATCCCCGCGCGTCGCGTCGTGTTAAAATTCCCGATCACCGATAACGATGCCCAAAGATTAATGGCTACGAGCCAACCTACCCCTCCCCCGGCTCTCCCCCCCCCCCGTAATCGTCGAATGATTTCTCCGATTGATCCGCGGGGAATTGTGCATACACGCGGGCAAATAAATAATTATACCGGGGGCTAATCATGTATGTATCCGCTGCGGCGGATAAATTGTCGGACGCCGTAGTGATGATCGGCCCGGATTGAATATTCACTTCAGATTGATCGACAGTTTCTTCTTTGTTTTTTTTTTTTTCTTTTTCTTTTTCTTTGGACCAGGTCTATTTGATCAAGAACATGGCAGGTAAAGTAAATTATTTAACTATATGTGAGAACGATATTTAATTATTCTTATTATAAGATATTTAAATATTCTAATATCTTATTATAAAATATTTAAGTATTCTAATATTCTAATATCTTGACATTATCTAATATTCTAATTTAACGATATTATATTCTATATCTTATTCTATCTAATATTCTAATTTAACATTATCTAATATTCTCATTTAATGATATTTAATATTATATTCTAATATCTATATTCTAATATACTTAAAATATTTAAGTATTCTAAGTATTCTAATATTTTAATATCTTGACATTATTTAATATTCTAATTTACCGATATTTAATATTATATTCTAATATTATATTCTAATATCTTATTCTAATAATAATAATAATAATAATAATAATAATAATAATAATAATAATAATAATAATAATAATAATAATAATAGTTATTATTATATATAATTAAAATAAGATGTAATATATATTAGATTAATAACATCTATACCTAATAATATATTCTAATATAATTAAATTATGTTAAGTAACGATATTTAAATAAAATACTCAAATACAGTGAGAACGCTCAAAGTAAAGTTAATTTTCATGCATTAGTGAGAAATTTGAAAATGTGAAATTGCACAGGACTATGCAAATAACATGCGAAAAGGCGTGTAAAGTATCCGAAGTATAATGCTTATAACGTGTTTACGAAGTACAATATCTTCGAATATATACATTACATAGTGCACGATGAAGTTACAATAGCCGATAGGTACATAAAATAATTTTCTGATTCAGAACGAGATTACAAAAAAATATAGAAATTGATAATAACATTGACGTGTAACATAAAATTAATCGACAACATACTGAACTTTAATATTCCCCGTGAAAAATGTGACTTGTGTTTCACAATCGAGAGTTTAAAAATGTGAAGTGAAAATGTGTGACATACGTCTCGTTACCAAAAAAAAAAAAAAAAAACGATCGTGCGGCAAGAAATTTCTAATTGTCTGCCTACTTCTTAATCTCTGCTCTTTCACTTCAGGCACTCTACGATCTTCTTAATCTTCGGTAAATAAGAGAAATCCTCCCGCTTCCGTGGAGGCGCAAGCGAAGTACTAATCCGTTCTGCGACTTTAATAAGCAGGCCGCGAGTTGTCACGGTGTTGCTCGTTCCGAGTAAAAATCAGCGTGTCTGATCTTCGTTCGCCTATCTGTAACACGTAGATGGCTTTCACACACTCTCCCTCCTTTCCTCTCGTTTACTCTGCGATTCTTGATCGATGGAAATCGTAACGAGACTTTTCTTCTCGGCGTCGGTTCGTCAATTGTGCTCTTAATACCCAACTATTGGAAAAATGTCCCTCCCCTTTCTACCGACATGACGGGATAAACGTAGACGCAATTTGCTAGTCACTTAATCCGCAAACGTGATTCATTATTTATAGCAAATGCACAGAAGGAAAGTGTCTCCGTAAGATTGCAGTGCGCAGATTGCATATATTATATGTAATATTATATGTATAATATATATAATTTTACATATATATATATATAATATTAATTTTATTATTTTATATTTATAATTAAAATTAATAGAAAATTTTATTTCTATAATATGAATTCAAATCATATACTTTATCAAGTTCATTAATTATTTATTATTATTTTTTATAATATAATCAGTTAAATTACTTAATAAGAGTTGTCTGCACTACAAATTCGTATCTGTGTAATTTCGTTTATTTATTATCAAAACCGTGAAACGAGTCGATTGAATTGTCGATTGAAGAAATGAATATTTGGGTCCAAAGTTGCAATAGTTCCTCAGTTTCAAGTATATTGAAATATAATCGAGGCAAAACAATAAATTCATTATTTCTCGGTCATTTCTATTCAGTGAGGTACCGATGAATTCAAAAGTAAGACGAGTTATTGTGCGACGGGTTAGGTTTGGTCACTCGTTATGGTCCGTGAAAACCAGTTACTAGCGCAAGAGGTTAAGGGACAAACTTCCCTCTTAGCTCTTGTCGTTAATCTCTCCGGCTCTGTCAACGAGCCGACGTTGACGAATCAAAGTGTTTTTATCAAAAGAGTTTAAAAAAAAAAAAAAAACAAAAAAACGAAAGCAACGTTATTTCCCAGTTAACCGCGAAATCTAATTACGGGCGGCGTTTGCTCGACTCGTTGTCTTCTTAGTCAGCAAATGGCCGTAATAACCGCCGTGTTTAAATTAGCGAAGAAAATCTGTAGATTAGTTAACGAGGTTGAATACGAACTCGGCGAAATTGGCTCAATTAAAAGCTACGGGCCAGCTGTCCCGACGATTGTGCCCCGTCACGTGACTGGTCCTTTCCTCCTCCTCCTCCCCCTCCCCCCTCCGGTCTCTTTCTTCTCCTTTCGATCTCTCCTCCTCCGTTCCGAGATGCATCGATACTCGGGGCCGTCATTAATCATGCACTTTTGTACACACGTTCGTCGATGGGGACTCCCCGCGAGGGACATAATCTCGTAGCCCGGCGATAAAAATGAATCTCTCCGGCGTCGTGATTACGATTGCGGACGACTACTCGATCGGGACCGTGTATTGCGTTATTAACTCTCACAAAGGCGGGCGTGCGAAACTTTCGTCGCGTCGCCGCGAAATTCTCGTGTTTTTATTTTGCGCGTGCGTTGATACACAGGGCGATTTCCTGTAACGCACGATTTTTCTCCTACTTACAGTCATCTGACAAAAAGAAGTTTCGAAGAAAAGTTGAACGACACAAGGTGTACAATAGGTGTCAGTAAAAATAAATTTCGAAAACTGTTTGTTTTCGTAGCTAAATCCAGGTCACTTTGCACGAGACAAACAGGAACACATAATTTTTTTTTCACCGTATTATAGAGAACATGGAGACGAATTCCAAAACACATATTATTTGATATTTTTATTAACATGTTACTCCATTTACAGTAGTGGAGATGTGAAGCATTTGGCTTACTTTAACTTGTCGTATTTGAGTCTAAGACAGTGTAAACATAGTTGACCTCAGATTACTGAATGTAAACATAGGACTAGAGTCTATTTGCAGCGTGTCATTGCGGTCATTTCGTTTCGTATTTCCAATATTTGGTGCAAAGTAATCGCTTGTGACAATGTGCTCCTTTTCTAATTTCGAGAGAGTTGAAATGCTGTTAATTTTCAGCGAATGCAAGAGAAGCTACTAAAGTGAGCAGAGATAGATTTGCGGCAACAAAATTAACGTTCTTCACTACTGTAAATGGAGTAACATGTTGATAAAAATATCATACAATGTGTATTTTGAATTCGTCTCGATGTTCTCTACAACACGGTGAAAAAGAAAATTATGTGTTTCTATTTGTTTCATCCAAAGTGACCTTGATTTAGCTATGAAAACAAACAGTTTTCGAAATTTTTTTTTTTATCGATACCTACCTACTGTACACGTTGTACAGTTCAACTTTTCTTTGTCAGATGGCTGTAAGTAGGAGAAAAATCACCCTGGATATCTGTAATATTACGTTCAGTCGTAATTTGATTTTTGGGAATAAATCGCGAATGGTGCGTTTGTCGTGCACGTCGCAATTAAATAATACATTTCTCAGCTTCTCTTGAAACGGAGAGATAAAAACAAATGTCGTAGGAATTTGAGCCAAGAAAAAAGAAAGGAGTCACAATCGACTGGGAAGCGGGTGATTGATTTGCCAAATTTCATTCTGAAGGATGAGCCTGATCTCGCACGAAAATTTAAAATCATTGGTGGATCTTCGAATTATGAAACATATCACGGTATGCCGCCATTTAGAAAAGACAGAGGAAGTCAGCAAGCTGAGTGTTCCACGTACTTTTAGCGGAAAGAACAAAGCAAGAATAACGCGGGAAAAGAAGGGCTGATCTATTCTATCCTCACGTCGCCGTCTGATCATTATCTGTTCCGATCCCTGCGAAATTTTTTTCCCTGACGGGGGGGAAAAAATTCTCCAACAACCAAGTCCCGAGAATTCGTCAAAAATGTTTTTACATCAAACACAGCTGAATTGTACGCCAAGCTACAATGATAAATGATAGCAACTGGAATGATTAGAGTGTGATTGTTGCTTTTTTCATGTTGACAGGTAAAGTTATTTTATCGAAACCCACTCAACCCAATATTTTAATTTTTTGACGTACGCGTTTCATAAACGACTGTAAAATTTAAATTATTAATTTATTTAATATTTTATATTTATTTATATAATATATTTATATATATTATATATATATATTTATTTATATAATATATTTACGTTATATTTAAATATTTAATATCTGTTTGCTTAAATTATTAATTTCTTCTTTCCGCCATTTTTTATTAATTTTGTTGTATGTATTTTGTTGTATCGCGTTCGTGACACTTTTGCAGTATGAAAATGATCGCGAATAAATGTCGAAGTGAAAAATAAATATCATTTCTCGGTCACATTCGAATTTCAATTCAATTTAATTCATACGTCGACGGGTGTTGTTTCTTTTTAGATTCGACGCGCCTGTGTGGAAACTTTTAACGCGTTTCACCTCGCGATATGTTGTTTCAGGACATGGATCTGATCGAAGTGCTCTGGAAGCAAGACGTGGATCTCGGATTCACGTTGGTGGAGCCAACGACAACAGCGAAGAAAGCGCCCACGGTGGAAAAAGGGTCCGACGACGAGATCGAGAAGTTGAAGGCTCTGGAAGCGATCAACGGGAGCAATGAAAAGGTTAGTCGCACACCTAACATTTTGTTCGAACCAGGGATCGATGTTAAGGTTCTTTTCGTTAAAGAAAAAAAAGTTCTGTTCGAACTACTTGCGTACATACGTCTAAAGAAACATCTCTGTTTCTGTGCGGAATTTTTATTTCATTGAAAAAAATGCTTGGGAACACTTTCGAACACGTGTTTTCCGTGGAATGAATGTTTCAAAGAATGAATGTCTCTAATAAAAGTTCCAGCAAGAAAAAGATTATTTTAGAACGTTTAACTTTTTAATTATCGAGCCTTTAGAAGAAGAAATAAACTGCAGTACTGAAGTGTGAAATTTTAACTCGAAGCTTTAGAGATTTAATTCCGTTAAATTGAATGTTGACAAGTGTGAATTATAAGGAATTAAGAAACATAATAACAATAAGTTATATGTGAATTATAAAGAAATTGTAATATAACAAGAATATGAAGAAATAATAAATTTGTAAATTATAAGTTTCAATGTTTTACATTTGAAATGTTATAATTACAAGTATCAAGTATCTAAGAATATCAAGTGTCGAAGCTGATCCAAGAATATTGGAAAGAAAATTATGAGGCAAGTTACGTCAGTTAAAAATCCATTTTTATATTCGAGTACTATTCGTCAAATATCGTCCAAGTATCGAGATTTATTTATTTATTGATGAACTCCTCCGACAGAAAAATCACGTTGATAATTTATAAAAAATTAAACTTGAAGTTACATTTCATAAAAAAATTACATTTTTTTTTTTTTTTTTTAATAATTTTCATTCTGTCTGAAACTTTGGATCTTCAAGAGAGCGTTTGCTCGTGGCGATATTTTGTAACACGAGAATATTGTTCGAAAAAGTTTTAAGGAACCTTAACTGAAAAAAAAAAGAATAATTCAACACTTTCGATCCCTGCTTCGAACCGAATCGATCGATCTCCGATTAAGAACATCGATTCGTGATTTAAAATTCGATATCCGCAGCGCTTTCTCCCGATCGCAAGCCGCAATTAGCAATTAATGACTTATTGTTTTTTTCGTTCTTTTGCGTCTGTTATCTCTTCTGATAGATCCATCTTTCACGTACGATGGAAAGTCTCGATTCAGACAGTCACTGTACTGTCGAGATTTTCACTCGTCGTGGGAAATGCTTCGAGTCGAGGTTGAAATCGTCGCAGCTTTCGACGATTGGAAGCTCGATCGGGGAAGCAACGAGAGAGAAAGAAAAAGAGAAAGAGATAAGAGAGTGCAGATTTGATCGTATTAATACTCGAGTAGAGATACGACCGATGAGAGGCAAGCGATCCGTGCCGATAGATCGGTATCGATTCGTCGTGAGGTCGAGAGGTATCGGCGAGGTATCAAACAAAAGTGACTAACCGCTGGACTAACTGGAGAATTCGCCACTCCAACAAGGGTGGCTATCTCCTTGCAATCTCTCGCTTCCTCGACTAAAAAAAAAAACGAATAATCGAAATTTATCGCGTTAGTTATAGTTAGTCCTTCCTTCTGTTCGAATTTCTAATAGATTGCAAAGTCATCTGATAGGTCATATCTAGGAGAAACGAGTCTAAAGGGGGACATATCAAGGTATCGATCACCGATTTTGATGAAATTTGGCACAAATGTGGTTCTTGAAGAAATATTTTTTTTTTTTAGGGTGAACATATTTTGTCAAATATCTCGAAAATCATTGAAGATACAGTTTTCGTGTAAATTGATGAAATTAGACGAATCTAACGGTATATATTACCTTGTGAAAAAAGATTTGCTTAATACCTTTTTAATTTCTCCAATGTAAATGTTAATACGTTTTCCTCAAATATTTGTTTTACGAAGACCATTTGTTTTACAAAGACCAATTTCAACGCAAATTCGAATCACGATTTTTCTAGACTAGAAGAAGAAATCTTTCTCCCCTGCGGGTCCTTCGTTCTTATCAGGTCTGCGCGTGTGGACTCCCATCGTGATAATCGGTCAAACACAGATCCAGTCGGAAGCTATAATCCCAGGAGCAGAACCCGTAGACACCAGAGAGATTAGGATTAAGGACAGAACCATCCTACGCGCCTTCGGATACTATCTCTCATCCGATATATCCGAGCCCCCACAAATCGGCTTCTCTTCTCCAGTTTTCCTCCAGTTTTCCTCTCGTACGCGAGAATATGTGAAAATTATTGTTCTCGTCGAGTAATGAACAGAACCTGATCTCGAGTCGGCGGCTCGCTCGCGAAGTTCGAAACGATCGAATATCAATAGCGATATCGAACGATCGGTACAATGAGAAATTCGTTCGGTCGGGTCACTCTGTCGTTGCTCAACGAAGCGTAATTTCCTCGAAGAAACTGAAATCGTGCTCAGTCCGAGTCGCTCGGCCGATTCAATTCGCTTTCTATTACGCCGCGACACAACCTTTTTCGTCCCAACGTCCCGCCGATTTCCTTCGTACGGCGCGTTTCAGTCGACGAGCACGAAGAACATTTAAGTATCCACGAGGATCGGAGCCAACGAGAGCTCATCCATACTACTACGGTCACCGACGATGACGTTGCACGACGTTCTGGGCGGGTAACCCATCAGACTTCTCGACCCGTTCTTTCTCTCCTCTCCTCTCCTCTCCTCTTCTCTTCTCTTCTCTTCTCTTCTTTTCTCTCCTCTTCACGTGTCCTCGCGTCCTCTTCTTCTCTCTTCTCACGATCATCGGGTGGTAAGTCGAGGCGTCCCTTCTCCCCTTTTCTCCAATCGCTATCCGGCTTGCTTCGCCTTTCGGATTCTTCCTCCTCGAAGATCGTATTGTTTCCAACCGGGTTCCACCTTTGTGAGGGCACGCCGCTCGTGTCGGACCACGGCCGTCCACGTAACTTTCCGCCAGGGAAATATATCCCCTCGATGCCGATCGAAAGCAGGCACGCACATCGGTCCGCGAGTGTAACTGAGAACAAAAGTCTCTCCCCCGATTCCTTTCGCCGCGCGTTGACAACTATTGTCTCGACGGATTGTCTTCAGTCGGATATTTCGTTCCTGAAATTGTTTCAACTGCAAGACGAGAAATGACGATCTCGTCGTCTTTCGCGTTTCGAACACCTTCGCTGGCAGCTATCTAGGAAATAGATTATTGCGGCATCTCTGTTGGTGAAGGACGAAAATATTTCGAGTAGTCGTACAACGCGTAAGATAAATTTAACATTTTTTTTTTTTTTTTTTTTTTTTCAGTTGGAAACTAGGGTCTTTAGAATAATTCTGCTCGAAAATGTCTATATTTTTCGTGGAACAAGTACATAGATTTAGAATCTAGTAGAAGAATTCACGGAAACAAGTTTCTTTTAAACCCTTGTCTTATAATATCAAGCCACACTCGTGGTATAAGTTTTGATTTAGATGAGAAAATAAATTCAAAGTTTTGTGAAATTTTGACTCGAAGTTTAAATTTAATTCCTTTAACATTGAACATTAACGAGTGCAAATTATATATTATAATTAATAACGTTTCAATGTTTCACATCTGAAATATCGTTACAGTTACAAGTAATGCTTATCTAAGAATATTAGAAAGAAAAATTGTAAGGCAAGAGGTCAGTTAAAAATCTTACTAGAGCTGAATAGTATTCAGTGTCAGTATATTATTAACAAATATCGAGAATATCTTTAATACTGACGAGCTCCTCCGACAGAAAAATTTTTATTTTTACATTTTTACAAATTCCATTCTGCCTGAAATTTGTATCTTTAACAGCATTTATTTATCTGTTCTCGTCGGAACATCTGTAACTTGAGAACATTTTTCAAGAAAGTTCCACGATCCATGTTTGAAATAGGACCTAACCTAAAAGTTCCTTCACTTCTTCGATCCCTGTTAAAATCACTTGTTCATTTTAGGAGCATCAACACGTCCCATGTATCAAACAGGACCTAACCAAAAAGATCCATGTTTTAAATAGGACCTAACCAAAAAGATTCATATTTCAGATAGAACCTAACCTAAAACTTCCTTCATTTTTTCGATCCCTGTTAGAAACATTTTTTTATCTTATCAACGCGTAGTTTTATCCCATGTTTCAAATGAAACCTAACCAAAAAGATTCATGTTTCAAATAGAACCTAACCTAAAAGATCCATGTTTCAAATAGAACCTAACCTAAAAGTTCCTTCACTTCTTCGATGCCCTAGAAACACTTTAGGGGCATCAACACGTCCCATGTATCAAACAGGACCTAACCAAAAAGATTCATATTTCAGATAGAACCTAACCTAAAAGTTCCTTCATTTTTTCGATCCCTGTTAGAAACACTTTTTTATCTTATCAACACGTAGTTTTATCCCATGTTTCAAATGGAACCTAACCAAAAAGATTCATGTTTCAAATAGAACCTAACCTAAAAGATCCATGTTTCAAATAGAACCTAAACTAAAAGTTCCTTCACTTCTTCGATGCCCTAGAAACACTTTAGGGGCATCAACACGTCCCATGTTTCAAACAGGACCTAACCAAAAAGACCCATGTTTTAAATAGGACCTAACCAAAAAGATTCATATTTTCATCAAACATTTTTTTATCTTATCAACACGTAGTTTTATCCCATGTTTCAAATGGAACCTAACCAAAAAGATCCATGTTTCAAATAGAACCTAACCGAAAAGTTCCTTCACTTTTTCGATCCCTGTTAGAAACCTCTTCTACATTTTAGGCATCAACGCGCCGTTTGTTCATACTTTATTCCCAATTCAATAAATATATTTTACACGCTATAACTCGTACTTTGTTTTCACAAATGTCCGGCATAACGCGAAACATGTTCCCCAGATTGTTCAATCTAGGAAAATGTACATACATCCCCATACGCTAAAGAATCATATTTTTACCATTATTCGCCATGGAAACTAGACTTTCGAGAGGATACAAAAATACAGTAGGTCCTCAACAATATACGTGACGTAGAGGCGCACGTAGAGCCAACTAAAACGTATTCGTGGAAACATGGAAACGAATAGCAGCGGCTACGTTCGCCTGCTGGCGGGGAGGGTTCGTCGAAATGATAGATGTACACAGCATCCCTCTGGGCGAGTGGGGCGGCATCGATAAAGCACGCTGGAAAGGAAGAAGAGGGTCAGGACGAGGGAGAAGAAAGCCGGTTGGTCGCGGGGACGCGACCGAGGAAAAAAAGAGAGGAGAGAGCAAGATAAAAGGAGCGGAGGGGGAGCAGGGCAAAAGAGATTGGAGCAACATGGCAGGGAGATTCCGAGGGACGTATTGATGGTCCTGGAAATTGAAAACGCGCCCAGCGAACCGAAGTGGGTTCAGCCCTCCTTCTCTCTCTTCTCCCTGATTGTTTCTGTCGGATGAAATTTCGGGACAAAATGGCGCCCGCGCTCCGCGGATGTCGCGCTCCCGATCGTTTCTTACCTTTGTCAAGTTGGTCGAAACTGCGTTTTTTTTTTTTTTTTTTTTTTTTTTTTTTAAAAAAAAATTTTTTTTTCAAAAAAAAAATTTTTTTCAATGCTCGCGCAGAGCTGCAGCCTGTTCTAAAAAAGNCAACAGTTTCTCAGTTTCAAGTATATTTAAATGTAACCCAGGCGAAACGAATGATAAGTTTATTACTTTTTAATAATATCTGTCCAGTGATATTAGACGAAAGAGTTCAAAAGAAAAAGAAAATCGACGAATTATCGTATACGGTTCGGTCACTCGTTATGGTCCGCGCAAACCAGTTGCCAGCGCGAGGGGTGAATTTTTCTAGATTGACTCCGGTTTTCGAGCAAAACACTCATGTTCCCGAATGTTCGTAAAAGAGATAAAGTCAATATGACTTTACCATATGAGTCATATGAATCATATGAGTCATATGAATCATATGAGTTGTATGAGTCATATAATTTTTATCCATTACTACCGTAACTGTCTCGTTTTAAAAACTCGAAAATTTTATGTTAGCGGTTTGTGTTTAAATTCTTTTTATAAATTATGTATTTAACGAGGTTGTTTTATCGTCTTTTCTCTCCCCCTCAATGCTCTCAACTCCGCGTTTTTTTTTTTTTTTTTTTTTTTCTGTTTGAAAATCGAATTTCTTTTAGTGACAAACAAATATAACTTATCGGTACATAAATGTTTTTGAAGAACATTTTGTCATCCTCGTCAGTGGATAGTGAAGTTTAGCAACCACGTAGATATAATCAGATAATTTGCAAACTTTTTTTTTCCTTTTCGAAAGACTAGTGCAGCAAAATGTCCCATTCGATTTTGAAGTCGACGCCAAACAAGCAATTGTTAAGAAGATCATTTTTTTTTTTTTTTTAGAACGAGCTCGAAATCATCAGGTCACACCAAGTCACACAATGAATGTTCAAATGTTTCAAATGAAATTTGTTCATTGTTCGAAACGCAATTACTTTTTGGCCAATAGAAGAATTTTCGTTTCAGAACTTTCTTTTCTTTTTTAGACTGCAGATTTGTACGAATTTGATTGAAAAAAAATAGAATCTAAATTTATAATTCGGCGCGTTTCATACCTATGGTTAGATAGGTACGTATTTGGTATCGGTATAGGAATAATGGAGGTAAAGTTATCACTTTTGAAGTAGAATCAGGATCAAAGGTGCCAGGATCGGCGTGTTGCGAATTCGTGAAGACGACAGGTTACGAATTATTCGCAGAACCGTGACTGGCAACAACCCGGCCACTTCAATAGCTGGCTGGATGGTCACGGTGGCCCATTGATTTCGTAGATACTCGCGGTGATCAATACGGATTCTAGCGTTCCTTTCGACCGACAGATCGAAACGTTCGGCTCGTGACGCCGAGAGTGGTCCGAAAAGTCTTAATTGAGAGCTGTGCCGAACGATGACAGGACCACCATTGTCACTCGAACCACCATTGTTGAACGAGAGATTCGCCTCTATTCCGAATGGTAACGTTAACAGCGCGTTTATGAATCTAGATTTGTGATTTAGATCACTCTGCTTTACCTCAGTTTCTCTAGATTTCGTTTCTTACTTTCGTTTACTTCTTTGAAAAAAAAAAAAAAAAAAAACATACAAATCCTGCGGTAGAAAATGTGAAATTTTGAAATAATACTTATAATAGAAACGAAACGAGTCTTCTCCGTGATCTGGTTGAATCGTTATCAAATTGATCAACTCGGTTTCGTTGTTCAATTTCAGTGAGTTTTATTTGTTCAAAAGACAACTCCCGACATAAAAAAAAAAGAAAAAAATAGTGATTTTTCCGACGATCTCGTCTTCGAGTTCAACAAAACGAAGCAGTGAAATTAAAAGGGTAGGAAAGATATCGGAAAGTTCGAGCAGGAAGCAGGAAAAAGGAAGGACGCACGCATCGTTGCGTGGTTCCCTCCGATGGCGCGTAACTGCGTTGCACTTAGTTTCATTTCAAGCCGGGAGTTGTCCGATCGGGAGAGGTGGAGAGAGGATTGATCGAAGTTTGTATTCATAACCACGGATCTTGGTATAACGCACCCACTCGACGACGATACATCACGCTGAATGAAAAAGAGACTGAGGCAACGATAGAAGGGGATGAAAAGCATCGGGCGAGGAAAGGGAAGCGAGAAAGAGAGAAGCCAGAATGGTCGGGATAGCTACTATCAGAGAGAGACTCGCTATGATTAATGATCGGGTACAATGCTATTTTCATTAAACTCATTTCACTGCGGCCCCCGGTATATAACACCGATGGTGTATGGCCCATATGAGCGTCCGCCTTCTTTTTTTCACGTTGCCGTTAGCTTCCCTTGATTATGACGTCTCTATGATCGTCGACTTTCACGGTCCCCGAATGCCATCCCGGTGAATTCAGCTATTGTTACGTCGCCTCTCTCGATCTCTCTCTCTCTCTCTCTCTCGATTCTTTTCATTCTATCAACCGAGAATTTTCGGCCAAACTCACTCTACAAAGTTCGAAATCCCCTTCCATCTCCGAGTTCCTCTCAATTTTGATTACATCTCACACGAACGATTGTATCTTCAAGCTTTTAACTGTGGGAGGGATCTTTAACCCTCTTTAACCCTCTGGGCTCGTGTGACTTTCAGGTGTAACATGCTAATATATCGACATTTTGCCAAATAATTTTTTTAGTTTCTTCGCAAGATGACGTATACGTCTTAATTGTATAATGTCGAACGATTGTATCTTCAAGCATTTAACTGTGGA